CAAGTGTCTAAAACAAATAGCTAGTGTATTTTCAGGATGATTTCTCAGCAACTATTAAAGACTGATGCCGATTTAACAATAAAAGCAGGTCTGTTATACATATGACATCGGTTGGACAGGTTGCCCAGAGGATAGCGCACTCTCTTTTCAACAAGATGGCAAGGGTCACAATCAGGGACATTAAATAGTATGGAGTCACCTGCCCAATCACCAGGGTTTACTCCAGTTTCCTCCCACACAAACACCCCTGTGAGCTTTCAGGACCAACAAGAGTGATTAATACATTTTCTGTTATATAATATTATGACAGATCATTAACTATCACGTCATCATAATTTACTGAAATTGTACCCAAGTTGTCTCCTTTTCCTTGTCTAACTGAAAGTTGATAAAACAAACATTTCTACTAAATGGAGGACTGTTGAAGATTTTCCTATGAATTCTGATCTTATTAATTTATTCATTTATGATGCGTACATCAAATGCAGTGTTGGAGCAAGTGATTTTGTGACATTTTTAGCATCTATAATAAATATCATGAAGCTAAATTTACTTTCATTATTGCTTAAACAGTCAAATTATGGCAGCACTAAATATCCTTCCATGTTGGAGGACTGTTTATAATAATCCTGTGTTGTCAAAGTTGTCAACTGAGATATTGCCCGTAACCTAAAGCAGACTTAAGCAAAGTTGCCTGCCGAAATTTGGCCATAACCTAAAGGCAGACTTAAACAAAGTTGTCACTGAGATATTGCCCATAACCTAAAGGCAGACTTAAACTAAGTTGTCACTGAGATATTGCCCATAACCTAAAGGCAGACTTAAACTAAGCTGTCACTGAGATATTGCCCGTAAACTAAAGGCAGACTTAAACAAAGCTGTCACTGAAATATTGCCCATAACCTAAAGGCAGACTTAAACTAAGCTGTCACTGAGATATTGCCCGTAACCTAAAGGCAGACTTAATCAAAGCTGTCACTGAAATATTGCCTGTAACCTAAAGGCAGACTTAAACAAAGCTCTCACTGAAATATTGCCTGTAACCTAAAGGCAGAGTTAAACAAAGCTGTCACTGAGATATTGACCATAACCTAAAGGCAGACTTAAACAAAGCTGTCACTGAAATATTGCCCATAACCTAAAGGCAGACTTAAACTAAGCTGTCACTGAGATATTGCCCGTAAACTAAAGGCAGACTTAAACAAAGCTGTCACTGAAATATTGCCCGTAACCTAAAGGGAGACTTAAACAAAGCTGTCACTGAGATATTGCCCGTAAACTAAAGGCAGACTTAAACAAAGCTGTCACTGAAATATTGCCCATAACCTAAAGGCAGACTTAAACAAAGCTCTCACTGAAATATTGCCTGTAACCTAAAGGCAGACTTAAACAAAGCTGTCACTGAGATATTGCCCATAACCTAAAGGCAGACTTAAACAAAGTTGTCACTGAGATATTGCCCGTCACCTTAAGGCAGACTTAAACAAAGCTTGAGCAAGATTTGATATTAAGGTAATACGGTATTAATTAAATTTCCTTTTAAAACTTCAACATCAAGGTATTCCGGTATTTTTTTCTGGGCCCAACATGCTAAATTTAGTGGGTAGTTATATAATGTATAGTGTTAAATTGTGCAGTACCAAAACAGTTTAATACATTTTATGCAGAGTTTTTAATTTTTTTTCGATTTCGTGGAATGGAATGCAGACAATTACAAGGTGATATTGTATTAGTTATGGTATCCAAAATACATCTCCTGGGTTGAAAATTCAGTATTCTTTTAACACGGCAACATTATTTACCAGCTAACAATAACAGCTATTCAATTTATTAGCTGTAACTATATTCCTAAGAGAAAGTTTGGTATCGGAATGGTTGCTATGTGGAGGGTCTGCAATGTTCCCAAATAAACAACCAGAAACATAATTGATTGTAAAGAAGGCCTGGAATACTTCTGTGTATTAGCCGAGGGTGTGAATAGATTTCTGTGTATATATAGAGTGGGTATGGTCAAGTCAAGTCTAAATGGACACTCAAGCCTTAAACAGGGCTGTAAGTGACTAATTTATAAAAACCTAGATCTTAATGTTGATACTGAACTTCACATTTAAAGATCTGACAATAACCTTGGACTTAATCCTCACAAACACTATTAATCTAACAAAGAGCCACTCCTCAAACGAAAGCTAATACAGGATTGCCAATACACAATGTATGTGGCTCAGTCACGACTAGTCAGCCAAGCTCTATCATATTTAAAATTAATATTCATGTTTTCCCTGCGATATTTATATGATATGTACTGATTTCTTATAAATTAGATGACATTACGAGTTAAATCAAATAACTGATAAAACATGATGTACAAGATTATAACTTTGACTGTGAAATCCAGACAATATTATTAGGAAGATACGTTTTTTCCAAACGACATGAATTCTCTAATAAGTATGGCAGGCTTTTAGAATGTACATGTGATGTTTTATATACTTTATAGATATAAGTTCTAACTCACTTTGTACAATAATACATTTGTAACGACACCTCAAACATTGACACAACATAACGTGTTACATTGGTGTCATATTTCACCAATAATCAGAAATTTATATTCATGAGGCCATGTGACGGACCAACAGCACAACTTAAAACAGACTGTCCTTAAAATCTGAGGATTTGCATTTTACTTACTTACTGTTCAAACTTTTATCTTATTATTTACTTTGATGGCTGCTTCGTAGGTACCATGCTGTTCTGTTAAACACTACTGATTGTCTATAATTTATCTGCCGCCATTTCTTTATTTTTCTGCTATTTGTCTATTGTCTGTGTATGTCATCATTTGCCTGTCTATCATTTTTCTATCACTAATTTGACAGACATTTGTCTGTCATTTTTCTTTAACCCCGTATCTACTCTTTTCCCGCGGGGGGGACCTCACTTAAATTCTTAAGCTGAATTCAGAATCTTTCCCGGAGGGAGATTCCAATTCTGGAAATGGCTGAACATTTTTACTTCTGTGAAAATCTTATTAATCTTGTTAAACTTGATGCAACAGTGCTGACCTGTACAGTGATCTGGTAATTTTAAACACTTAGTGTTGTCAACCCAGTGGGGCATTGTCTGGCGTATTGAAACGAAAGTAAACTCAAGTTACTGACAGGGTCGAAGTCATTGATCTGTTTACTTTATAACCCATTCACCTTCTGTTGAAAGTCTTCACATAAATCTAAATAACTTATGTACTGTGAGTATATACAGACAACAGTGTCTCCAGGACACCTCCAAACAGTGTCGTCGACACAGTGTACCGCGCCACAGACACGCTAATACCGCGCCACAGACACACTAATACCGCACCACAGACACGCTAATACCGCGCCACAGACACGCTAATACTGCGCCAGGAAACGCCACTGTTTGGTCTCCGGATACACACATGGTAACCTTATACATACCTAAACACAATAATATATCTTGTCTCAGAAACTTTTTTTCTAACATCCTAAAAAACCTTCAAAACCGTTTCCTTTCTGTGCTTTTGTGTCAATATTTTAATGGCCTAGCTAATACATGATGTTATTGACAAAAAATTGATCCCCAGACACATATTACCATCATAATGTTTAACACAATATCCTTTTACATTGACATCTAATCCAGCTGTTCAATGTAGGTCTTACTTCTAAAGAGCTGGAGTTTGAATTTATTGAATGCAAGGGCTGGTAGATTTTTTTAAGTAAAATAACTACATAATAATATTACATGTACTGTATAGGGGATCGTAATTTTGAAAATATTACCCCATTCCAAATTTCTCTGAATCTTATCTGTAACTAATGAAATTTGAAACAACTTATATTGTCATAAATAAAGTTTATCTGAGTTTCATCAGCTTCGATCACTTTACAATTTATAAAAAAATATTTAAACCTTGTGCTTTTATACAATTTGAAAATTAAATGGACTTAAAATATATTTGACCCCAAACCAACGCTTGATGAACCTTGGTGAACCTCTATGGCTTAAAAGACCTTAAAGGATCCTATAAATTTTGGAATTGATATGTCCCTAATGATCTAGAGAGTTTTGTATACTGGAATACATTGTAATATTGTCCCTGCAGAGGCCAACAAAATACACAAACTGTCTTATATTAAGGTTTCGTAATTGTACGTAAGTGATTATATAGTTAAAAGGTGAACAAGAATGTGATGCATGGTTATTGACTGATTTTTAGGTTATTCTATAACATACAGTAAAAACCTGACATTTCTGACACCTGACTTTAAAGAAATCTTGTTATACAGTAAAAACCTGACATTTCTGACACCTGACTATAAAGATATCTTGTTATACAGTAAAACCTGACTTTACTGACATTTGACTTTAAAGAAATCTTGTTTTACAGTTAAAACCTGTTTACTGACAACTGATTATAAAGAAATCTTGTTTTACAGTTAAAACCTGACTTTACTGACACCTGATTATAAAGAAATCTTGTTATACAGTAAAACCTGACTTTACTGACACCTGATTATAAAGATATCTTGTTATACGGTAAAACCCGACTTTACTGACACCTGACTTTAAAGAAATCCTGACCAAGCTTACACCTGACTTTAAGGACACACTGTAATTGCCAACATACCATTGTCCCAAAAAAATAGGCTTCTTTCTCTTTAGTCCAGACTTTTACAATATACTGTATGTTTGACCAAATTATTTCAGTCCTTCTTGGTATAGGATAAGACAGGTTTATTCACCTTCTTTTTATCATCTTGTCAAATGACACAGTCCCTCTTGATTTCAGACAAGAAATGTTTTACTATTGTTTTGAATTATCAGATGTTATTTTTTTATTTTATTTTTATTTTAAGGCAGAAAACATATCCTACTTGTAAGTCAAAGCAACAAGTTACAAAACAATCAGTTGCATGTACCCTTAATGTTTGACAAACACAATCTTGAATTAGTTATTTCTACCCTGACAGACTTACCTGGTAGTACTGTTGTCGGTAGGGATCCTGGGCTAGGTCCTGCCCCTCATATGCCCCCGGGTAGTACTGTGTCCCCACAGGGCGGACTCCACCTGTCGCTTGGGACCCATGCAGCACCTCTGCCGATACTTGTGGTATACCCCGGGGATCACCTCCCTCCCCCCGGGGACTCAGAACTTTGAGGTTAATATCCACACTGATTCGCTGTCCGTCCTCAGTCACTATCTCCTGGGTGACAGGCTTCAGGTCTATTGGTTTAAATGATGCTGGAGGCATCCCCTGTCCATCCATACGATCACTGGGCTTTGGTCTATTTGCTTTGTTTTCCAGTGGTTCTAGGTAGTGGTTTCGAGTCGGGGTGCCGTACATATGAACAGGTTGCCTCCCTTGACTCTGCCCTTGACTATAAAGAGGCTGACGAACTAGTCCATTCTCACTGGAGTACTTTTGCAGACCCCTGTTTTTCCTGAGACTTGTGCCGGAGGCTGTTTTAGATTTATTAGTCTGTTTTGCGTCTTTCTTTTTTTCAAGCGCTGTTGAGCGCTTTGCCCAAAGTGCTTCAGCCATTGATGCATTCTCACTAGGAATGTAATCATCAGGCGGGGAATCACCACGACTTTTGTTTGACGTAACATTGTTTCGCGTCGTTTTTTTAGATCGGAGTTTAGGTGTTATAAATACACTGTCTAATTTATTCTCACCTTCCTTTTTTCTTTCTAATAAATAAGCATATGATTTATCTGGCACTTTACCGTAATCTACCTTGTTGTTTTCTACAAAGTCATATTTTACAGGTGGAGGGTTAACTATCTCCATGCGCTCCGTTTCACGCTCATCATAACCGTACGGACCACTGGGTTCCTGGTAGGCCTGCTGAGGCGGTGGGGGAGGGGGGTTCTGCCAGGGGTCCTCCAGCGAATCCTCCAGGGGAAGTTTGGGTATGACAAATTCCTCATCTTGCTGGGCCTGGTCACGAAGTCGGCTCTGAAGGTGAGCCTGGTACTCCTCTTCCTGTTTTATCAGCTGTTGTTCATCTTCCTCCGGCTCATAACCATTCTGTATCAAGGACCGAGGCTGCCTGTAGTTATCGTTGTGGTCATCGTACTGTTCAGCCTCATTCCTGCCCCGGTTTTGCTGATCATTGTAAGTGGGTCTATCATCATATCTATTTCGATCATTTGTTTCGAGATGAGCAGGTCCCTGTCTACCATCCTGATACTGTGGGGGATCATTTCTGTCCTCCTGACCCCTGTCACCACGATTATAACTATTGTATTGGTTACGATCCTCATATCTATCGTGTCGATTCCTATCGTCATATTGAGGTTGTTCATTTCTGTCCTCATACCGACCGTAACCTGCATTTTTATCCTCATATCGGTCATTCTGACCTTGACCTTTGTTCTGGCTCATGACCCTGTTTCTGTCCTCATATCTATTATCCTGTCTTGTATCGCGAGCCGCTGGTGGCTGAACCCTAGGATCTCCCTGGTTGTCTCCCCCTCCTCGTACGTCCTGAGAGTAACCCCTGTTTTGAGCCTGTTGACTATACTGAGAATCGTAACCATGCGGTCTCTCACCCTGGTTATTGTTGCGACTATACTGGTCAGGTATTGGAGCCCCGGGACCCTCACTGTCTTTTCTGATATACTGACCCCCCTGGGGAGCCCCCTGACCTCCAATCTCTTTCCTTACATTATGTCTATAATCCTCCCTATACTGGGGCTCTGGAGGGGGACGACTATACTGACTATTATACACACCCCCATCATAATTGTCTCTAGTATAGCTGGGATGACCTCCCTGGATGGGTGGTGCCTGTGTTGTGGTTGCCATTGGTTCTACTTTATCACCTTTATCAAGTTTTCTGAAAGTATCCTCTATATCATCCTGTCCTTCATCAAGACGACTTTCTACAAACCGATACTGATCTTCCTCCTCCGGAGTGAATGTTGGAGAATCCACATACACACGTTTAACAGTTGGTAATGTCGTGTTGGCGCTCCTCCGTTCTTGAACGACAGGTGATGGAGAGTGCCCTTGAGGCTGTGGTACTGCAGGTGCTGGTTTTGGCGTATCAGTGTCCGACTGGCCGTCCGAGTCCCACTCCTTTATCTGAGGAGTGGTGTCACGTCGCGGCGTGACTTGGTCGGGCTTTAAGGGTGAGCGCGGGTGAGGTGTGGGAACACGTTCCTTCAGATGACTACTTGGAGCACGAATTTGTTCCTCGTCACTGTCACTATTGTCACTTCTATTTTTAGGTTCTGGATGAAAGGAAACTGCACTGCGGCCACTTTTACGTCCAGATGTGGCCGAGTTTACCTTCGCGTTGTTGTTTACAGAATCTCCTACCTGCGGTTTAGAGGAGTTTCTGCCACTAGGTGGAGCTCTATCACTATCCTGAGTATCCTGACGTCCTGTAAGTTTGGCAGGTTTTACACTATCCCTAGTGTCCTCGCGTTTCGTTACAGACTGTGGCTTAACACTACCTTGTGTACTCTCCCGTTTTATTATAGAATGGGGTTTAGCACTTCCTTGTGTATTTTCACGACGTTGTACAGCCTGCTCTGCACGAGGCGTGAACTTAGCGTTTTGTGTTCCCTCGCGTGGAGTGTCTCCCTGGGCTGCAAGAACAGCAGGATTAGCGACTGCGTATACACTGCTGGTGCTACGTCTAGTAGCGGGTTCCTCACTTCTTGCAGTAGGTTGAGGAACTCTACTTTTGGCAGAATCAGGAACACCCGAGCTAGGCTTGGGTGTCGGGATTCCTCGTGAAAGTTCGGAGTCTGGGCGCACCTGACTTAGTGCGTTCGGGTTGTCTTTCCGTCTAGTATGTGCAGACGCTGTGTTTATATTGGGTATTTTGTTTGATGTTGGAGATTCCACAGGGTAAGTTTTCCGGCCTGTGATTGGGGAGTTCTTCCCCGAGTCAGAGTCTAAACTGTCTTTTAACTGGTGGGACTGTTCAAGGTCAAGGCTGTCCTGTAGATCATGTGATGCCTCTAAACTGTCCTTGACAATATCAGATTGTCTTGTGGTTGGTTGACCTTGACCCTCTGACCTCTGTGTTGTCGCAGGGTTGTGACCTCCCGCTGCGACCCCGTGGTCTGGACTGTGTGGAGAGATATAATTGAAGAGATTAGTGTTTGTGTCTGCCCTGACAGTGTACCCAGCACCAGAGGTTACGTCAACAGCATGCAGTGTCTCAGTACCTTTCACACCTTCTACTCTATGCGTTTGGACAGAAGCAGGGGAAGGGTTAGCGTTAGAGGAAATATGCACATCTACATCATGCAAGCGTTTGTCATGCAAGGAGGGTGTCACTATAACAGAGCTACGTATACGTGCAGGAGTTACAAGTTCTTGTGAATAATCCTCGTTCAACAACGAGCTATCTACTCGCGACAACAGTGATTCGGATGTTTTCTCTTTACTCTTCTGCAGGTTCAGTCCAGGAATGACCTTGGTGCGACTGTCTTGTTCTACCTGAGATATGTTAAGATCTCCAGCAGGAGTTGAAGAAGTCTGACCAGACACGTTGTCACGGTCACCTACAGAAGTTCTACTATTAGTATTACAGTTGTCTTTGTTAGAATCCAAAGGAATCACATCTAATTTGTTTTCTCTGTCATTACTTGCTATTCTATGAGAGTCAGCTAGCTGCGGGTGGCTGCCCCCGCTGGTCTGTACGTTGACAGCAGTAGGGAGTTGCGTAGAGACAGGATTAGTATAAGCAGGGTTAGAGTGACTAGAGTTGTCCAAGCGACTTGAGTCTGTTATTACACACCTGGTACCACCTGCCGCGGGTCTAGTGGCTGTACCAATACTACTATCCCCAGTCCGCTCCCGTAACAACTGAAGCAGAGCCGGGTTTTCGGTCACAATTCTTCCAGACGTGGATGAGTGTACACTACGTGGCTTCGTGCTACCACTCATATTACCTGGAGCCTTGTTCCATGATGGAACAGCCGTGGAACCCAGATCCTCAGGCCCGCGTGGTAGTCGGGGGCGTAAAGCACAGCATTACACAGAATCTTGGCAGTCTGAAAGTTACAGAGGTAGACAGTGAGAAAGGACAGGAAGGAGGATACAAGGTAAGCCAATCAGATCCCTCTATACACAAGTTACTATCTAAATACTGAATCAGATCTCCCGTTACAGATAAGCACTTATAACTGGAGAATATGCCATAAGCATGTACACATTGGAAAGTATTTTACTATTCTTTTAAAGCATCATCATTTTTATTTTATTTTTTTACTTTTTATTTTTATTACTTTTTGGGTTTTTTTGGCATATTTAAGTGAAAATGCAAATATTGCAATGAATATTCTTAATTGGCTACTAAGATATTTGACATTTTTTTCTTTAAAATTGAACATTGTGCATGCCTTCCAGAAAGAAAAACATGCTCAGTATAAAGGTAGGAAAATGTCTTAGCTGAGGTGTGACATAGAAGCCCAGTGTGATACCAGATTTAAGCCAAACCCTGGAGATGTGATTCATAAAATAATTTAGTATGATTAAAATTTTAAAATCAAAATGAAGGTAAAATCTTGTACAAAATTGAATCTAACCAGAACCTTCAATATCTTCTGTTGATGTTATTTTTTTCGTCACAGTGACTAGAGTTTTGTGACCACAATGTTTAACCAACGATCTCAAGGACAATTCTTGTGAAACAAGGATCTGATTAGGAGTTAAGATTGAAGGAGTTATTTGACAACAGTGCACCAACTAAATGTCACCAACTACACACTTTTCTATTAAACAATACAATACATACCTGAGTTAGGGTAAATATACTTATTCCTACACTTTGTTATTTTGACTATCCAATCCTTTTTTAGTATTGGTATAAAGGTAAAAAAATAATTCTGTTTTGTATATAAATTAAGGAATCAATAATTTTCAAAACAAAACAAAAATAAACAAGAAATAGTAATTTGCAATCGTACTACTTTCAGAAAAAAATTAAACATGCAAATTCTGTTATATAAAGGAACTACATCAACATTTTCAAATTTCTGTCAAATTCATGCAATCTTGATTTGTAAGAAATCAGTTTAAAATGCACAAAATAAACAAATAAGCAAATTCAATTTCTATACAATGTATATAGCAAAAACATCAAAGCGAAAAGCTAAAAATGTAAAAATGTAATTATAATTTGGCCACCGTGGAATGTTCCTGAAACTGATGGTTCCCTTATGTTATACATCAAAAGATTAAAAACTACATTTCATAAATATCTTCTGGGTCCAGACCAATAAACATGATGTTCCAGGTATAGTTCATAATCATTTACAATGGCACTTTTATTGTTATATGTATAATGAGAAATTTAGCTCAGACTTCTTCACAGATCTTTCAAACCTCACAGCTTATTGAAGGAATAAATTGATGAGTATGTATACCCGCAAATAATTTTGATATTTCCTGGAGCCCACATAAACATTACAGTATAGTATTTGACAGACTGTCACATTTATCATAGTATTTTATAAATAGGCTGATTCCTACAGTGAAACGGTGATTCCAGGACTGTTTCACATCTTCTATATTTTATCACCAAAACTCATCAAACATGTCCACAGAGATATGGTTAACAATGTCAGTATGTTATGATAACCGGTACATCATAATTAGTATACACATCAGGTTTATAGTTGTTATCAAAACTGGTCAATATCATTGATTAAGTGGAAACAAAGACAAGGGTAAGATTAGTGTTTGGAATCAGAAGTGGAAATCATAATCGATTATTGGAAGACTTTCACTGAACAGTTATCAATTATAATAGATTATCAGAATAACACTAGATAAGATTGTTATTATAACTTCCTCCACCAACCTGCAGTGTTGATATAAGTTCAACATTAATCAGGTATAACCTGTCTAAACGGAACCCTGTATTGAATGAACCATATGCTATCAGTCTACCTGTTTAAACTGAACCCAGTCAGTGTTATCAATCCACATGTCTAAACTGAACCCTGTATTATCAGTATATTTGTATACTGAACCCAGTGTTATCAGTCTACCTGTCTAAACTGAACCCAGTGTTGGCAATCCACTTGTCTAAACTAAACCCTGTGTTATCAATATATCTGTATACTGAACCCAGTGTTATCAATCTACTATTCTAAACTTAACCCAGTATTACCAGTCTACCTGTCTAAACTTAACCCACTGTTTAATATCAATCTACTTGTTTAAATTGAACCCTGCATTATTAGTCTACCTATATAAACTGAACCCAGTTACCAGTCCACCTGTCTAAACTGAACCCTGAGTTATCAGTCTACCTGCCTTTACTGAACCCTGTATTATCAGTCTACCTGTATAAACTGAACCCTGAGTTATCAATCTACCTGTATAAACTGAACCCTGTATTATCAGTCTACCTGTACAAACTGAACCCATAGTTATCAGTCTACCTGTATAAACTAAACCCTGAGTTATCAATCTACCTGCCTGTACTGAACCCTATATAATTCATGGAAAACCTCTCACTGTCAAAGCAGCTGGGAGCTTTACCTTACTTCATAATATTTGTGATGTTAATCTTTTTCTGCAACATTTATTGGGATATTTCAAATTATTGTTAATGTCCAAAATGGCCTGCAAACTCTATTTGTGTAAATATAAAAGGAATAACATCAGATTAGCAGGAAAATATTTTTTCTTGGTGAGGTACTTTCTGCATTGTGTCAACACAACACTTTAACACTGTCATTACAGGTTAGTTTTTGCTCGGTATTCCTTGAGAAAAGCTAGAGTATAAACCCTTGAAAGTTATATATCTATACATGTATTATGTATATATATTATGTACCACTCGGGCCCTGCTTCATCACATGGACTATCTCCAGGTCCTCTGGTTAGGTTGGTCAGTGATCTGCCGTCCACTCACAAATTAACACCTTATTACTATACACTACCAGTGCTTATAGTAATTTTGGTTACCATGCAAACTGCTAAAATTGGCCAAATAACCAGCTTTAAAATGCTGATGGGTCCACTGCATAATGTATAAACCGGTAAAGTGTTAGCCTAGATAGCAGCTGGCCTCTGTACTGAACCAAGATTTCGAGAGATGTGATTCAAAGACTACACATTAAACTGTTAAAGCCACTTTGGTCACCGTGGAGTGTAACATAGGACTGTTATAACGGTTCCGGGTTGTTTCGCCCCAAATCCCGTTCGCCCTAGGTTGTTTCGCGCCAGGTTGTTTCGCCCTAAAACATTTTTTTTAGGGCGAAACATTGTTTGGTATTTTCTTTTCATTTTTATTTGTTTTAAGTCACAAATTAAGTCTTCTTAGTCTTTCATATCATTAAAATAAGTTTTATTTTAAAAAAAAAATGTGTTTGTGTTGTTTTAAGTACATTGTAAAGCAAAAAACGGATTACGTTATTTTCTTAACGCCGACACACATTATAACATATATTGAATTTAATTTTAGAAATAAGTAAGAATAGTGAAATGAAACAAAAATGGTGTAATTTTAAAAATTGCGGGGTATACAACAATATTATTTTCCATGTTAACGCATTTAAATTAATTTAGTGTATGGCTGTACGCATACTCGTCGCCGTGTGACGATGTTTTCTTTACTTGATTTCTGCACACGTCCGTGTTGTTTTTTGCTAATTGGAGATTATGTCCATTTTGAGAAGTTTTGATAGTACCACGGAATTAGATTCAAGTCTGTGATAGTACCGACCAATAAAAATTAACATGCATATTTGAGTAGATAATTTTGAGTAGGTAAATATAACTTGTCATAAACAGAGCATTTCTCAATACTGTGTTATAATTTAACATTAGTAATGTTGAGTTATAACACAGTACTGAGAAATGCTCTATTTATGACAAGTTACAAAATGCACAAATCATCCTTAACGTAATTTACATTATGGATGATTTGTGCATTTTGTACGACTCTGTGGTTAGACGCAGACAGCATGGTATCTGAAGTGATGTGTGTGACTGTTGGCAGCATAGAACCTGCCAGACTGGCAAGTACATTATTATACAAGTATATTTAATGTAAAGTAAATTGCCAACGTTTATTTCATAATTCAAATGTACACATTTGCTTAACAATTAAAATACGCATCTATGTACTTGGGGAATTATTTACATTTCGTATACTTCTCTAGAGAAAGATTTGTTTTTTTTCATCCTTATACGCAATTAATATACGTATGTAGTTTCAGTCTATATACGCAATTTGTAACTAATCTATGTCCATTTCGTATACGTATCTATGTACTTAGAGAAATTAATTTAGTTTCATTATATGTCCATATCTTATCTATATATTATAGATATATATAATTAAAGTATTAATTTCTTTTCATTCTTATACAAAATTTGTACCTAATCTATGTCCATTTCGTATACGTATCTATGTACTAAGAGAAATTTGTTTTATATAAAATGGGTGACGTGACAGGGTGCTTTTTAATTGTTTATATCATGTTTTAAATATTTTTAACGTTAAAATATATACAGGTGCATTTTATAAAGAACAACATTACTTAATTAAGGTAAAGAAATGAAAACGATAATATACAGTATATTCCGGATATTAGTATGTCCGTTGTAGCCTTCGGTGATGAATATACAGGTTCGTTCTTCACCTTCCGGCACGTAATTATATCTTGATTCAAGAGAAAGATTTTTTTTTACTTTTAACATGATATTTATGATTTAAAAAAAAAAAAAAAAATTAGGGCGAAACAACCTGGGGCGAACGGGATTTGGGGCGAAACAACCCTTAGGACGAACGGGATTTGGGGCGAAACAACCCGTTACCGTTATAACCGACCACTGAACTGCAACTGTCAGTATTGTTACTTCAACAGTACCTAGATTTGACCATTTGATGGAGTATACGCGGTATACTTCACAAGATCAGAATTATTTATATTTACTAT